CGTTTTCAGAACATTTTTTGTTATGAATTGCTAACTTTTATGTCGTAAAAAAGGTCAGTTGTATCAACTTTGCATAACGTTTTTGTTCCCCGAAAGTAACGAACCCTCGAAAGTAGCGACCCTTCGAAAGTAGCGAACCCCAAAGGCTGCTAATTCCGAAAGTAACGAGGGTCGCTTCTATCGGAAGTTTACGGTTTATCCAGTAGTCTTCATTTAGTCATTTTTATGTAATCCATCGAAGCCCTAGCAAAACAGACTCGTAAGTGGTCGCTAGTAGCTACAACTTGCGTAGAGACTGGCGTTGGGTGGCCAAACGAACTCGCAAGTTTCCTCGCAAGTACACGCAAGTTGCAAAAAAAAAAGACATTTCAAGGCTACGATACGGGCTTACTCCCGCGCGGCCAAAATGTAACCATCACACAAACATATCTTGTATTTCATTGGCTAATAGGTTACTATAACAACGAATGGATGTCACTCAACTTGTGTTGATTTGGGTTGGATGGCCAAACGGTCAAAACTTGCGTCGACTTGCGTGCAAATTTGATCTCGACCAAAGTGAGCGCAAGTCACTGTACGTCACTGAAGTCAACGCAAGGCCTGTCCAACTGGAGTTGCAAGTAGACCCAGGTTTTCAACTTGCGACTACTTGCAAGTCTTTTTGGCCAGGGCTATGAATTACGCGTCCTTATTCTCACCTCACCGATTGTTTTTGTTTTCTGTTCCTTTATATGTACCCTGCTGTCTACGATGGAATTTACATCAGGGCGAACCACATGTAACAATGTCAGCCTTATGCCTTCGTTCCAGCTCACAACTTTCAACGACTAAAACTATCAAGTCTTTATCTGGCTCAACCAAACAGAAATCTGCGAAGCGAAAAATTCCATGCTATTCTACAGCCAACCGTATACTCTTCGCATTGGTTCTGTGATAATGATCTAAAATATCCTCTGTTGTTCTTACTTGTGCGTCTAAATTAATTCAAACATCATGAATCAAGGTCTAAGAACCAATTAGGCAGCGTCCACTCTACGCCGGAGAAAATTGAAAACGCAGCTTTATTTGTACGGTTAGGCCTACCGTCCACACTGATCCGTAACGAAAACGGAGCTTTTCGAAAACGCTCTTCAAACCGGAGGAATTTGAAAACGCAGCTTTTAGTTTTCGTGTGGATGGGACACATTTTGAAAACGGAGTTTTTTGAAAACGATGACGTCACGATAATCATGTGATTTCCCTGCCCCAGTTTTCCTCAAACACAAATCCAAAATGGCCGGTGATTGTTGGGTTTTTAAATTTCTCCGGCGTAGTGTGGATGGAAAACATTTCAATGCGTTTTCATAGTGAAACTCCATTTTCAATCCCCTCCGGCGCAGTGTGGACGGAGTCTTAGAGACACTTCACACAGATCTTATTATCTCGACACTTTCCTTTCTTATTCCATGACCAGTTGTCTATATCGGGCCCTCGATTTCTACATACCCTCTCTCTAATTATGCACCGCGGACTTCTGCCCTGTTGTATTTATATTTAAATTGCTAATATTGTTAGCATTATCTTTGGCGTTGAGGAAAATAATCCAAACAAGAATCAAATACTGTGTGATGTGGTGCAGTGTTGGGTGGAGAGATTGGTGAGTCAAAATTTTCAACGAAGATTGCAAAAAGTACGAGTGGAACGGATATTATTCATCTGCTTCAAAATGAATGATAAAATACGTTGCTTTGAGGAATGCTGCACTTTATCTTAAAGCTGTTAAGTAGAACCATTAAGAAAGGTTAACCCAGTTCTTTTCGTGTTTGATCATCCTCGAAATAATTATTAATTCACAAAGTTTATACAAACGAAATTATGATCGTCACGTTGTTTGGATATCTGATCTTAATTAACATAGATTTTTACGATTTTATTTCTCCATTTTCTCTTCAGACTCCTTAGTTTTAGTTTCGATTGAGAGGATATATCAAACACGTAACACCGTGTCTGGTCACATTTTCAACACTTCGAATACTCCGCCACGCGTGGTATTTTGAACTTATCTTCTCTGTGTTTGGAAATGTGGTCAAACAGGGTCTTTCGTGTTTCACACATTACAAGAAACTCCCCTTTAGGCCCATCAGGAAATAAATGGGTGGGCGGAGCAGTTCCGATGATCAGCTCTGCTTAGTAAACGAAGAGGATTAAGAAACAAAATAATTTGATATATTGAGAACTAATGAAAATGACTACTACATGCTTAGAAATACTTATAAGAACGAACTTTACCATGTATACATTTCTAAACTTCACGGCTAAACATGACTAAAAGGTCCTTACAAGTTTTAACCTTTGCATTGAAACTGATGATTGCTAAATGGCTTTGGTTTATTGTTTTTAGCTTGCGTTGTCCATGGCAAAAAGTGTTTAAGAGATAATATTTTATTAAAATTTACCATTAAAGATTTAAATTGATTTAAATTTTGTGTATATACAACATTTGTCAAGCCTCCCCATGAGGTCATCGACGAATAAATATTGTTGATATCCTCTTTACAACCTGGGTGATAAGTTTGAATGAAATGTAATATAAACTTCCAGCTGTTGTTGTTCCTTGTCATAGCTTGAGGTACAAAGCGAGCGGTGAGATCGTTTATCCTTGACACGATCATGAAATATCACGCAATATTAAAATGAAAACTCCGAACACCAAAATGCCGAAAAGAAGACGAAAAACTAGATGTTTGTACGCTGCAAACAGCCAAATGTTTGCATCGGCTTTCAAACAGGCTTTTTTTTTTTCAGTGTTAGGATATCCAAAATAAAATCCTTATGATCAAAATCAAATTTTAATTTAAAATTATTAGCAGCACGCTGAACTCGCGCGTTTTGAGTTCTAACTGGAACTCTCCAGAAGACAAACGATGAATAAGGAAAACCCTCAATGAATCTTCACAATTAACGTATTTCCTTGACAGGAAAGTGTCAAAAACGATATAAGAAATTAGGTGAAGCATATTTGTCTCATAAAATAGCACTAAAAAAGCAGATAAACGCTAATGGTGAATCAAAACACCAGCGTCAATGTTTCAATCTTCGCTTAACACGATATTACTACTCACGGTGCTCCACTGCGGGGAATGACGGAGGTGTTTGGTAAAAACCTATTTAATGCTAGCCTGTAGAGACAATGCTCTCTTGCTTCATGTTCACAGCCAAAGAAGGGGGATATTTTATCAGGTAAGTACAGTACTTGATTTGAATATTTACAATTTTACTTACTATAAATGTTAAGAGGAAAATCTACACGATATAAACAAAAGTCAAGTCAACAACGCAAGGCGCTAGTCAGGAGAACATTGCAATAACTGACACAAACCGAATAAGACAATTATGAATGCTGCCGGCCTTCCATCGTCGCGTACCACGTAACACTCTTTGAAGAAAGCAAACGAAGATAAAAAGAAATAAATTGCCACAATTTTGGAACACTAAATTGGAACATCAAAATAAGTTAATATGTAAACTGACCTGTGTACCGCGTACTGGAACCCGCACTAGAAACACCAGGAAAGAGCATTTGGTCAGTAGTCAAATAGCGAGTGGCATAAAAGAAAGAACCATCGCCGCCGCAAGGTGCAAGCATTATTTCTATCCACGGTCTTCAACTTCGCGCTGATTTTTTTATTCTGACTCTGAATACCGTGAGTGTTCTTTTGCCTGGTTTTGTCCGTGAGCCGAGAAGCACTGGGTGACTGAGATATCTCAAACTGGTTAATAATTAATCGAGTTTAAGAAGACGGTGTTATGATATCTGACCTTAATCGTAACAATTTCCTCAAATGTGATTGGTGCATAAACTGGTGTACTTTACTCTAATTAATCTGCAAAGTTGTAATCGGACAGTGTAATCGGATAGTTGGCTGTAATTGGACACCTATGATCGGACAGTTACTTGAGCCAATCATTTTAAGTCCTCTCCACTAAATCCACAACATTGATTACAGTCACTACAGTAACCAATTCAAGAGACTGACTATTTTTCAAACTGTAGGAAATTGTAATGGTTATGATTGATTGGTAACAGGACATCGTGTTGTCCAATTCAGTCTGTAATCATACTCGTGATTGACAAATCGGACTCCGGCTTCGCGGTCGTCCGATTTTGGTAATCACTCGTATCATTACAGATCGTATTGGACTCCACGCAGTGCTGTTATCATTATTAATTAGCACAGCTTCTTATCATTTTCTTTCTCTGTTTTCTCCTGAGTTTTGTTTTCGATTAAAAAGATAAATCAAACACTCAAAACAGTGTTTGGCCACATTTCCAAACACCTCGAAGGTCGTCAAAAATACTCCCCTGCGCGTCGTATTTTCAACTCTCTTTTCGGTGTTCGGAAAATTATGTGGTCGAACACGGTCTTTCGTGTTTGATATATTACATCTCGTTCGTCAAGCTTGAGCCGGCCATAAATCCCTTACAAACTCCCTTCAAACGTTATGCAAAATACCACAAGACTACAGAACCCACGTGTTCGGCACCCTCACAGGGGTTTTGGAGAACAAGGGAAAATGATAGTTTATACATACATAATTGTACATACACACATTAGTATTTGCTTTATCAGTTCAAGACACAAACTTAGGAATAACCTACAAAAGTAAACAAAGTCTCGAGGTTAGCCTTATGTAAAAGACTTCCTGAAAAGTACAAGAAAGGTGGAAAAATAAATGTTGAACTATGTATCACTGTAATTAGATTAAACTTCAGATTTTGAGAGTGCGATTGAAGGCGGGTTTGGATACGTTAAAGCTTTCGGCTTCCACTACATCTCTTGGCAGTTTGTTCCGTAGGTTGACTACACTAGTGAAAAAGAAATATTCTCTGACGCTATTTTTTTGCGCAAGAAAC